GGGAAGAGGAACACTGAACAAGGGAAAATTTACTCAACTGTAATCCCATTTGTCATAGTCTTCTCTTTTCCTCCCATTTCCTGCATCATTCTAGTCTGCCCTTGAGGAGTGTAACTAAAAGTATTTTCCCTATGATCTCATTGTCCTTTACTATAGCCTGGAAGTACCTAACTGGAAAGGAGTGGGTGGATTAGTGCTTACATAGTACCCTGAACTAACTGATTTTTTGCCTCCTTGCTTCTGTCTGTAATTCTTGTTGCTGGATAGGATGGGAGAAGGAGGGGACTGTGAGAAATAGAATTTCTGATGATTGAGTTTTCCTTATCTAGCTTTCTCATATTAAATGAGTAACTTTCATATCTTAAACCAGAAGGAAACTTTACTTCACATATTTTATTTTAAACACAGTTGAAAACTTTAAATGTTGATATATTGAATAGTCAGTAAAAGTGAAACTATATTTGAGCTGCCATTTTTCAAAGGCTTATTTGTTTCTCACGTTGAGGACAATTAATGGCAGTAGCCTTATCAAACTTCCTGTGTTAGATAAAAAAACTGACATTTCAAAGATTTGGCTTTCATGCCCAATCAAAAATGTAACAATTTAACTTTTAAATCCTTTAGTATTTATGTATTTCTCGTACATTTTCATACCCAATCAAAAATGTAACAATTTAACTTTTAAATCCTTTAGTATTTATGTATTTCTCCTACATTTTTGAGATTTTGGGGCCATCATAGCAAGTTTATGAAACCACTATCATATGTAAGAGAACTTTTTTCCTTTTGTAACTTTCCTCATTTTATTTGGTTCTGTCCATATTTATAGTTGCTGCTATAATCTTCGCTTTATTCACAGTTGCCAGCATCCACCTCAGTCCTCTAGTCAGCAAACCTTGTAAAGATGGAGGTTTTCCAAAAAGGCAAAAAGACCAGAGAAGACAGAGTTGTGAAAATTATGGCTAAACAGTCATAACCTTATTAAAATAACATACATCAATGATGAAAGGAAACATGTCTTGATAGTAGGGAAGAAGCAACAGCATCACAGATATGTCACCAGCCCACCAATTCCAGTGCTCCTTAGAGGCTCCAGGATAGGTGAATGGCCCATGCTATAGTGACATCAACAGGCACCATGATGCCGTCTGGGGGTTGAAGATGGGTCTCTGAACTCACCCCTGCACTGGCTACAATTGCTCCTTTCCCATAGCTTCTGTACAGGCCAGTTAAGCTTGACGGGGTGGTTCAATGAAGTGGCTTATGAAGGCCACCAACTGATCATTTCTTAAATTGTTTCTTTGTGGAACTTACACTATATTTCACAGATGGAAGGAAAAGATAACATAGTTAATGATTTGTGTGAGCCAGAAGAGGTGAGGATATCTATCAGAGAAATCTTCACTTTATAAGAGTAAACAAAATAAGAAAAATTTAGACTGCATGAAACATGTGTATATGTATATATATATCAATTTTATGAAGATTTTATTATTAAATTTATTATATAAACAGTACCAACTGGAAGGTGCCATATGAGTTTAGTAATTGTAGGAAGTTTTACTTGCTTTATAAAACAAATTATGACAACAGTTTATTAAGTCTTCATAAAGTTTTGGTTCAGCAAGAAAGGAGGGTTACGATCTTGTTTTTTTCTGGTAATGAATTTAAGAGGTCTGTTTATTAGAACTCTGATCAGGAAGGAAACAAAGGTCTGTCCCTTTTTTTATGAAATGGTATAAAAAGTGTGCACACTTCAAAATGCAGAAAAGACAGAAATTAAAAGCTTAAATAACTCCAAACAGCAGGGTTCATCAGTAATGGAAGGTTTTCTTAAATGACTTTGACAGCTTTTGCAGGTGCACATACTATGTCACTTCATCTAGTGGAGCTTTGAAAAAGATTTATAGCTCTCCATTTAGAATTTATTAAGAGGATTTTTTCTTTTTTGCAAAGCAGTCTGGACATACTCCTCCCTCCTAGTCATTTTTATTGCAACTCTGAGAGGAAAGTCATCTATTCAAAAACATATGTTGTATTTTGTCTCAGTGGCTATTTCATGGTACCTTAAATGATTATGAATATGCTTGTTTAGTCCTGGAAATGTGCCTATAGTATATTTCTTTCTTTTAAAATGTTAATCAAGATTTTAAATATTTTTATGTACATCTCATTTTATTTATGTTAGCATTCGCCAATTGGATGTAAAAAAAAATATTTCCTCCTATAATACCACACCCATAAAAATTCAAAAATCCATCTCCAAAGAGAGAGTGAAAGTCAAGGGGAAAGGCAGAAATGTCTCTCATTTTTATTTACTTCATCGGCATATGTTGTGTCCTACTCTGCCTTTGTATACTATACTATTGCTGCTGGTATCCACTAATGTGCAAAGTAATGGCAAACCGTAATACTTTCAGAAGACCTCTCAAAAGAGCCCAGGCAAGGGTAACTGTTAAGCCCCGTGGCGTATGCCAGTTCTAATCAGCTTGCTCAGTTCCTGTTTTCCAAAGACATACCTTTTTTTTTTTTTTTTAACCTTGACGCATTCACTCTTTGAAACTATTTGTACTGTTTGTTTCTAAGGAGCCAGTCAGTGTAATCCCATGGGATTTTATTCTGTTGATAGAATTAATGCTTCCATATAAAAAGCCTGTTGCAGTTGCTTTTTTTATTTGTATTTTTGGTAAGCATTTTTAAAAAATGGAATGAATTCTTCATTTTGGAATAGCCCTTCTTCTCTTGAAGACTTCTTGTTTCATCACTGAGATGATTTATGGTTGCAACAACTAAATCTGATGTGTCTACAGAACCGGACTCTCCAGAGCCACTTGCAGAATTGAGGCCTTAATTTGTATTAAATGAGAAATTTATCTGGAATTGACACATCAGTGGGAATCTCCATTGAGAATTAATTCATTCCCAATACTATGGAATCAAAGTATTTTAATGGATAAACACAGATAAATGTTTAGACAACTGAGTGTCACTGCTGCTAGCCATAAAGAGGATATGTTTCAAAAGATACTTTCAGTAGCATTAGTCACTGACGAGTCAGCTGTCCACTGTTTCATTAGATATTGACTGTACAGTATTCTGTTCCACGCTCAAATATTGGTTCCATTGTAAAGTTTAGTCTGGGTTCTTTGCCTGATTTCACCCTTAAAAATAGAAAACTCAGTAATAAGTAATACCTTTTCAGAAAAGGTATATTAGAAATAGAAAAGGGTACAGAGAGGGCAATAAAAATGATTAGAGGTATGGAATACTGAGACTGTTCAGCTTGGAAAAGAGATGACGGGGTTGGGATATCATAGAGGTGTATAAAATCATGAATGGTGTGGGGGAAAAGTGAATAGGGAAGTGTTATTTACCCCTTCACATAACACAAAATCCAGGAGTCACCCGATGAAGTTAATAGGCCCGAGGCTTAAAACAAACAAAAGGCAGTAATTCACAGAATACACAGTCAGTCTGTGGAACACATTGCCAGGGGATGCTGTGAAGGCCAAGTCTATAACTAGGTTAAAATCAATTAGATAAGTTCATGGAGGTTAGGTCCCTCGGTGGCTGATAGCCGAGATGGTCAGGGATGCAGTCCCATGCTCTTGGGTGTCCCTACCCTCTGACTGCCAGAGGCTGGGACTGAACAACAGGGAATGGATCTCTTGATGATTGTCCTGTTCTGTTCATTCCCTTTGAAGCATCTGGCATTGGCCACTTTTGGGAGACAAGATAATAGGCTAGAAGATGGACCCAGTATGGTCAGACCCATTCTTATGTTCTTATCAACTGGTAAGTCATTAAGGGCCATATGTTTCCTCTCTGTGGTAAAGCAGTGCGGAAAAGACTAAGATCCATGAAAAAAGTACTACAAAATTTAGCTGCATAAATTAAAACATTTCTTGTCATTCAGTTTTGAAGAAAAACATATTTGTGGTAACCTGCAATGTATATACCCAGAGACACTCATGGAGAAGAAAAAATATTGTATACACTGTGTTGGTGTTTATGTAGAACAATGCTCTAGTTCATTGTGGCAGCATCTGTACTAGGTGGCATAGTGAAATCTTCAGTGAGCTTTTCCAAGCAGTTTGAGAAAAAGGCCACACTTTCTCAACAACAGGGACTCATTGTAAGCTTAGACATTCACTGAACCATCTGCCATAATGGTGTACAGATTTCTGGCAGTAGCACTTCTCTATAGTAGTGTATGGTTGGTTTGTTTTGTTTTTTTTAAGTTAGCTAACATAGGTACTTTGACTTCGCACACATTTCACAATGGTCAGTTTTCTGATATGTGAAGATCTTTTCTGTGGTTCTTCTGCGTATGTCAATTGTCACATAAGTATTAAAGAGGCATAAAATTTTGGGGCAGGTTTCTGCCCTTTCCATTGTACAAGTCACCAAAATTTCTGTCCCAGAGCTTTTATTAAGGTAATTGAGACATTTGTTCAAGTAGAGTAAAACACTTCAACAGAATTCTGCATTCTACATGGTAAAGAAGATACATAAAGAGCCTCATGCTTCATTTAATATTCACTATTCCAGAAATGACTTAATTTCTCATATACAGTTAGCCACTTGTACTTGTGTGAAGTTCTAAAGTTTATGTCTGGAGACACTGAACCACAGTTATTTGTCTAAGATACTTGCAAGAAAAAATAGCCCGTGCTCTTCAGTGTAGCTTCTTCATCTTCAACTTCTTCAACTGGTGTAAAGGGTTTACATGAATTATTAGGCTATCTATGTCCATAAAGAAAAATGTACTGCATTGTTTACTCTTTTATTGGTGATGTTTGAGTTCTTTTGGTCATCCTTTGAGAATCCCTAAAGGACCTCCCTTATCAATACATAATGCTCCCCATCAAGGGCTCAATTCTTCTAGGGCCTCTACTCTCATTGAAATAAATGAGTAGAGCTTGGTGAGTGATCAAATGAACAGTGATCAAAATGCAAGAAAATAAAGAAGGATCACAATGTTAATTTTTCCTCTCCAGACGCGTTTCAACCAACACCTTACCAATGTCAGCAATCATGATTCTGCCCTGGATGACGATGACGATGATGAAATGGACAGAACAAGCAAGTAAGCAACCTGTGTGTGTGTGAGAGACAGAGAGAGACTATATGTATGTCAGTGTGTCCCACAAATGGATTTTTAAACCGGTTGAGTTCACATGAGTGAATATTTTGCCAGTGTGACTCCTGACCCAAAAATTGCTACATGTTCTAGTGTTTAATATGGAAATAAAATCCTACTTTTAGTAGCAGAGAAACAGGGGCAGCATATTATTACTATTATTTATTTGTATTATTAGAAAATAATGGACTAGAACCCCTTTGTGCTTGGCACTGTACACTCAACAAAAGTAGGGTCCCTCTCCCAAAGAGCTTATATCTACATGCAAGACAAGAGACAACAGACTGATACAAACAAACAGATGAGTAGTGCCAGAAAACAAGGAGACAATATTGGTCAGCATGAAAGTCAATGATCTCAGCACACAAGCAGCCTAACCATTGTCAAGTCTTTTGAAGGCATCACAGCAATGTAGAGCTTTTAGGAAGTTTTTGAAGGAGAATAATAGGTAGTTTTGTGGATTTTTCTACCCAAATGTAAGGCATATGGGGAATAAACATTCTCATAAACAGACTAGGGAAGTGTGGTCTTCATGAAATTACTATACGGGGAGTTCACAACTGGTTGAAAGACTGTACTCAAAGTATCAGGGGGTAGCCGTGTTAGTCTGTATCCACCAAAACAACAAGGAGTCCGGTGGCACCTTAAAGACTAACCGATTTATTTGGGCATAAGCGTTCGTGGGTAAAAAACCTGACTTCTTCAGATGCATGAAAGCTTATGTGGATAAAAACCCCACATTATGTGCATCTGAAGAAGTGAGGTTTTTTTACCCACGAAAGCTTATGCCCAAATAAATCTGTTAGTCTTTAAGGTGCCATGAGACTCCTTGTTGTACTCAAAGTGTAGTTATCAGTGGTTCACTGTCAAACAGGCGGGATATATCTGGCGGGGTCCCACAGGAGTCTGTTGTGGATCCAGTACTATTCAATATTTTCACAAATGACTTGGATAATGGAGTGGAGAGTATTCTTATAACACCAAGCTGAGAGGGTTTGCAAGCACTTTGGAGGACAGAATTAGAAATCAAAAGAACCTGGATAAATTGGAGAACTGATCTGAACTCAATAAGATGAAATTTAGTAAAGACAACTGCAAAGGTAGGAAGGAAAAATCAAATGCACAACTACAAAATTGAGAATAATTGGCTAGGCTATAATACTGCTGAAAAGAATCTGGGAATTATAGTGGATCATAAATTGAATGAGTCAGCAATGTGATGCTGTTGCAAAAAAGGCTAATATTATTCTGGGGTGTATTAACAGAAGTGTTGTATGTAAGACCTAGGAGGTAATTGTTGTGCTCTAGTTTCCACTGGTGAGGCCCCAGGAGCTGAAGTAGTGTGTCCAATTCTGGGCACCACACTTTAAGAAAGACAAATTGGACAGAGTCCAGAAGAGAACAACAAAAATGATAAAAGGTTAGAAAACCTGATCTATGAGGAAAGGTTAAAAAAAACTGGGTATGTTTACTCTTGAAAAAAGGAGGGGGGACCTGATAGGTGTCTCCAAATATGTTAAGCACTGTTATAAAGAGGATGGTGATTGATTGTTCTCCACTGATGGAAGACAAGAAGTAATTGGCTTAAGCTGCAGCAAGGTAAATTTAGGTTATATAATTAGAAAGTTATTCCTCATATAAGGACGGTTAAGCACTGGAAAAAGCTTCCACGTGAGGTTGTGGAATCCCATTACTGGAAGTTTTTAAGAACAGGTTAGACAAACACCTGTCAGGGATGATCTAGATATACTTGGTCCTACTTCAGCACAAAGGGCTGGACTAGATGACCCTTGCCGCCCTGCATTTCTATGTTTATGAAGGGCTTTTTCCTAGCAGGAGGAACAGCATGGGAGAAAGCATTACGGTATTTGTTTGGAAAAACGATGAGTGGCCAATGAAGGCTGGCATCATGGGCTAATCGGAGACTTGAGTCAACATCTCAATAGTGAATGAAAGATGATAAATAGTATGTGGATACATCATGAAGGGTCATGAAAGTGAAGTCAAGCAGCATATGTGAGGGCAGGTGGGATATCAACGTGGAAGTTGAAGTCACCGAGGATGAATTTGGGAGATTGTGAAGAGAGGAGAGAGAGTCAGGAGACAAAATCAGAGAGGCAGGCTGATGAGGAGTTGGGTGGATGATAGATGAGAGCATCAAAGGGAGTTGGGGAGAGGAGAGAAGGTGCTGTCCAGAAGGGAAGGAGGAGGGTGCAGTGCTGTCTAGAAGGGAAAGAGGAGGGTGAAGGGCTTGGAAGCGACAGGAACAGGAGAGGAGATCATGATCCAAAGCAGGGAGTCTGTGAGAAGGAGAGGCCTCCATAAGAGAGCTGCAAAGGCACTGTTAGATGAAGGGATCCAGATCCCTGTGAGAGCCAGGGGCTGGAGATAGCCAGATTCGAAGAAGTTGTGATCTTTTTAGAGATGGAGTGACCATTCCAGAGATGGTAAGAGAAGGGGAGAAACAAAGGAGTGGGGAAGAAGGGGAATGAGCATGAGTGTAGAAATGGTGGTGGCGATGAGTGTGAGAGGTGGAGAGGGAGGGAGGGCTAGGACTGGGGTAGATGTGGGACCTAAATTAAGAGGAATGCAGATGGGGGACCTATATTTGTGCTGGTGGGAGTCGCTGACTTTCATTCTCTGCTTCCAGCCACTTGGCTACAGTTGTTGCATCCTGCTGTAGTTTTTAACTAGAATGGTAATGAGCATTGAGATTGGAGTTATAGTTGGTGCTGTTCTCCCTTACTTTGATTAATAGAAAAAATATCTACATGCTACCAGTAGCGGCATGATTTTTCTCCTTGTTTATTAATGGTGTCTGTGTTATCATTTTCCAATCAAATGCTGTTAATATGTAGACCATATTCTAAAAGGCTGTTTGAACTCTGTGAACATTATTTTCATAATGATACGCATAAAATAAATCCATCACTACTTAATGCTTGCTTTACAAGACCTGGCCTCCTTTTTTGTTCCTGTATGTTACTGGGGCATGTAGATACCTACTCCCTGCTTGCACCTACATCTGTCTGCATGTTCTTATTTGCAGGTGAAATTGTCGAAACAAACGCCAGGTTAAGTCCACTTTCAAATTCAAATGGCCACTGAATAAGCTATCCTTATTTACTTACAGAAGTTGCCATTCTGACATCATAAAATATTTTACGTTTTTAGCTGATGGAAAGTTTATTGTTTTTAGGTTATCGTCTGAAGACAGCGAGGAAGCCTCCGCTTATTTTTATGATAGTGATGATTCTGGTGAAACAGGAGTAAAGTCTTATCATACAGGAGAAATGGACTTGCTGGGAGAGATTTTGGACACGCTGAGCACACACAGTTCAGATCAAGGAAAGCTCTCAGGAGCAAAGAGCCTGGATTTCTTTAGATCAACGGACGATATTGATTATAAGGCTATGGTTAGTCACCTTTTTCATGTGTAAAACAACCTCATTAATTTAGAATAGAAGCTAGTGGAAGCTGCAGTTATGGCCAGTTTATAGAGGAATGGTTCATATGGTCACAACTGTGCCTTGCTGCTGCTCCAAAAAAGAGAAGCATGTTTTTCTAACAAACTCATGCTGATAGCCACAGTATGAATGCACATCAGCTGAAGATTTGGGTATACTCCTAGCCAGCTTATCAATGGTGTGCCATTAGACGCGGTAACCACATCTAGGGCTAGTTGGGAATCCTACTGCACAGGCTTCTTATGTTCTCTCTCTCTATCCCCTGGGCAGGAATTGGTCTCAGTTATAGTTCTAGAGGCTGTTAATATTAATTTGGTCTCCCCTATTGAAAGCAGGTGTAAGTATATCACTCTGGGGAAGTTTCCCAGCTTGTTTAAGTCGTTGGATCCAAGTAGTCATTGCTTTAGAAACCATTTCATTTTCAGTGTAGCAGTTTAAGGCTCCATCCTGCAAATGGGTCTGCCCACTCGAGGCCTCTAAGGGTAGGTCCACACTACCGCCCGATTCAGCGGGTAGAGATCGATCTTCTGGGATCGATTTATCGCGTCTCATCTGGACGCGATAAATCGATTCCAGAAGCGCTCCCCTGTCAACTGCGGAACTCCTGCTCGCCGAGAGGAGGAAGCGCTGTCAACGGGGGAGCTTGCCTGCGCCTCGTGGACCTGCAGTAAGTAAACTTAGTTCGATCTAGGAAACTTCGACTTCAGCTACGCTATTCTCGTAGCTGAAGTTGCGTTTCCTAGATCGATCCCCTGCCCCAGTGTGGACCAGCCCTAATTCAGTTCACAGTCCCATTGGACCCAGGGCAACAGCAGAGCTTCTGCTTGAATCTTTAAAATCTTCATCAAATCAGCTCCCTGGTGTTGGTGGCCACTGTCAAAATACTTTTGTATCTGTAAGTTCCAACTCCTGTGTTTGGTGCTTAAGATTTGCTGTTGTCAAAAGCACTCCCATATTAGCGATCATTGACTGGAACAATTAACTCTGATGCTAATCCATATCAACATTGATGTTATAAGCACCACACAAGGATTGCATTAATAAAATGTCCATTTTGTTTGTGAACTAAAACATGTACACCTCTACCCCATTATAACGCGACCCGACATAACACGAATGTGGATATAATGTGGTAAAGCAGTGCTCCGGGGGGGGGGCGGGGCTGCGCACTCGGGTGGATCAAAGCAAGTTCAATATAACGCGGTTTCACCTATAATGTGGTAAGATTTTGTGGCTCCCGAGGACAGCGTTATATCGGGGTAGAGGTGTATAATAAATGTGTGTGTAACTGATTACTGAAACGAAGAATAGAAATCCCAGTGATTATGGGTGAGACAAGGTGGGTGAGGTGATCTTTTATTGGATCAGTTTCTGCTGGTGAAAGAGACAAGCTTTTGAGCTTACACAGAGCTCTTCTTCAGATCCAAGAAATGTACTCAGACTGTCACAGCTAAATACAATGTGGAAGTAGATATACCCCAGGAAAATCTGCTTCTGTACGGGGGAGAGGGGGAACCTCTGACCACACACCTCTAGTTGTCACCTACCATTCCACACTGGAACCCACATGAGGTATCATTAAACAATTACAACCCATGGGGACCACATCCTAAAAGAAATCTTTCCCAAACCCCCTCTTCTGGCCTTCAAACAACCCCCCAACATCATTATCAGAAGCAAGCTCCCCAGAGATCAGACATACCAATTCAAAGCAGCACCAGACCCTGCCAGAACAACAGATGCAAAACCTGTAGACATATCTCTTCTGCTACAATGAGCAATGTCCCCCACAACACACCTTTCAAGATCTGTGGGTACTACACATGCCTATCACAACATGTAGTGTACCTCATCCAATGCACTAAATGGCTCAATAACAACTATGAGGTGAAACTAGGCAATCACTACGCTCTCGAATGCACTCACACAGAAAAGTGATAAAAGACAAAAACACTCTATTCACCCAGGGGCGAACACTTTTCACAAAGTGATCACTCTATATCTGACCTGTCAGTCCTCATCCTCAAAGGAAATCTGCACAGCACTTTCAAGAGATGAGCCCAGGATCTTAAAGTCATAACTGTGCTAGACACTAAAAATCCTGGTCTTATAAAAACATTGGATTTATGGCTTATTACAACAATCTGTAACCCACTAACCCCCCTTTTTTGTCCTATGACTGGAGACGAGTTAACTGTCCAATTCACCTTGAAAGGTCTTACAGTGTGTTTTAACTACTTACGCTAAACAACCTGTTCCCCCTTGCATTTAGCAGTGACCTTGGGAATATCTTTCCCAAACCTGGAGAAGAGCTCCATGGAGTTTGAAAGCTTGTCTCTTTCACCAACAGAAATTGGTCCAATACAAGATATTACCTCACCCACTTGTCTCTCTAATATCCTGGGACCAACACTGCCAACAGTGGCCATGGGTCTGAATCTCAATTTCTTATCTCATAATGCAAAACCACCATTGCAGTTGACACAAGCTATACCTTTGTTTACTGCACAGCTGTGTGGTCAAGGTTGAATGGGCAATGGAGACTGAACTCCTTTGTCATTCCTAGAGGTGATCTTTAAACGTCGGGATGAGGCAGTGTCAAAAAGCAGTTTCCCTGCTATGCCGTTCTGTATCTACGGAAATCCAGGAGATGTATATCCTTTCATGAACACAGGATTTTTCTTTCAGTGACGTGAGTGCCAGGGTTCTTCTTGTGACATTAACTATAACAACACATGTTCTTTGTTTCAGAACAAGTCTAGTGCACCTAGTGAGAGCAACCTCGCTCTGCTCTGTAGTGGTACTAATGATCCAGTGGAGTGGAATCTTGGTCAGGATGATAGTGTTCTCCAGGGGAAACAGCTCCCTCCATCGCCAAGAAAGCAAGTTGATTTTAGTGACCAGATGGAATCTGTCTCTGTGCTGCAGGAGGAAAATAGTGACAAAATCCTTAGTGCTGACCATGTGGATTTCTCTAAAGATTTTGTGAAGTCAACTTCTCCAACACGATCAGTTGCACAGCTTGCTTCTCTGGAATTTTCCCAAGTAGATGACTCCTTCCATAGGAAGATAAAACCGAATGAAACACTAAGCAATACCTCAGAGGATCAGCTCCCAGTGAACCTTTGTCAACATCCATCCATTCTAATTCCTTGGCAAAAAGAAGGGGATGAAGGAAAGGAAACCCCAGAAGAAAGTGGGCTTCTTCATGAAGTTGTGTCATTATGTAAAATGACCTCTGCTTTCCACCACAGTTTAAACATTTCAGAGGATAATTACTCCAGTAATAGCAGTGGAAATAAAGTGTAAGGGAACTTTGAGAGGAGAAACTACTTCCATGAGAGGTTAAAGAGAGACTACTCAGGAGTCCACGTAATACATGATAACCAAAAGATCACAAAGGAATAATTACTTTTACATTTTAAAATACTTCTGTTTGTTTAGTACATGGATTTAGACATCTGCTTATATGTTTCTCGGTTAATTTCTTGGCTGTGTTTAAGTCCACAAGATGGAACTAAATATACTAATGCACTCTTAAATCAGGTACTAGTTTGTATGTATGTGAAATATACAACTGGTGCATGGTGCTTACTAATGTTCCTTTGTGCAGCAGGAAGTGTATCGCCTTTGCATATATCCAGATACTGAAGGTACTGTATTAATCCTGTTGGGCATGAAATGAACAAAAACAGTTTAGATTTGTCTGAAACTTACAAATATCGATGTTTGTAATGATTTAATTGCCTTAATCATTTGGGAAAAGGTTTAAATATCTTAGAAGATGACTTGCAAACATTCAGAAGAGCAATAATGATTTTCCATGGCAGGTATCTGCTTGAGCAAAGGGGAAAAAGACCTTTTCTAAACTAAAGGATCTCTTGTGACTAATAGGGAGCTTGTTATAAACAGAAACTGTGGCCATGTCTTCCAGACCTTGAAAAGGCGGTGCATACTTTTCTCTTATGAAGTGCTGAATTACAATGTGAAGTTACTTAACTTCTGTTTACAACTAAGGCACTTTAAAGACATATTATCCAGTGTCTCAATGGAGACGTTTTCATCTAGGAATTTTCAGAAAGGAAAGTGTACGTGAAATTGATAGATTTTATTGCTGTTTTTTAAATTTCTACAATTTAATAATTCTGTACTAAAATTAATTTGTGCCACTGCTGAACATGACCATTTGATTTTTACAAGCCACCTTTAAAAGAAACATTACATTATTGCTTTTCTTCTTTGGAGTTTTGTTGAGTTGAGCTGTGCAGTATTTTAAAGAGCAGTGAATGAAGATTACTTATAACACTAGACATCAAAAGTAATTGGTTCAGCAATTAAGAATGCAAATACCCCACTCTCATGTACCAGAGAATCTTTTTGCAATTACAAGGAAGGGAATTAAATGGATGCTGCATGTACTATATTTAGGCATAAATGTTTATCCTCCTTCGAGAAGGTAGCATTCCTAAAGGATATTTCTGTATTTAAAATTCAAAAAGTAGATTCCTCCCTGAGTGGAGCACATCTATTCATTGTCCTTGTCCACCCCTCTTTGTCCCATACCCTCTGTGGATCAGAATGAGTACATTCTGGGGTGAACCACACTAGGCCAAAAATGGCAACTTTGAATACTGTCTATTGGCATGTGTAACCCAAAGCAAGGAGTAACAGGATTTGTCATTGCGAGGAATGCTCTCCCACTCTTCCTCACCAACAGCAGGAATCTTCTTCTGCGGCAAGGACGGCTTAGTGGTATCCTCAGCACAGACCAAGGAGAGCAAGTTGAAGAAGTCAGGGGTTAGGGGCAGGTTGGGCTGCAGTACTTTGGTAGTGGATCACTGCACAGGTTAACACCAGTTGTCACGTTTGGGTTTACAAAGGAAGTTTCCTCTTGGCTAATGCGATTTGGCTTTTCTTTTCCCGTTTTATCACCATGAGCATCAGGCAATTGGTTATGTCAGGTGGCTCAAGGGAATTGGTGTGTGATCCCTTTGGGGAGGTTGGGGGGCGGTGGCTGATGCTCTGCCCATGAGATCTAGTGTCTAATACTATCTTGTCATTTCACATAACTTTGTTGGCAACATCCCTGGCATTGTAAAAGAAGGTCTTGTATCCCAAACTACAGACTCCGGATGGGTGAAAAGGAGCAGGGAGGCAGATTTTAGCAACACCACTGGTGAGGATGGGCCGCATGACTGGGTAATGGTATGAGGCCCCTTCACCAAAGTGCCCCGTTTTACGTGCAAGGGAAAGGGTCAGGTTGTGGACTCACAATTCATAATACAATGTCCTTGGCTGATTAGAACATGAAAGTTTTTATAGGTGTGTTCAGTATATATTTCTGAAGAGGACCTCAGAAGCTTATTGGTGCTGAGGATGATGGTAAGATTTGCCTCCTGATCTGTCTTAGAGTTTTCTGTAGTACTGATCACCATAGGATCTGAGATGCAAGTGGAGTCTTTATTTGTGTTATCCCAAAAAGTGGCACTTGGCAAAACTGTGTTTGAGTTACTGAGGACCAAAATTATTATTAACCCATAAACTATTAAACATTTTAGCTGGGTTATCAGATATCAAGAAATAGGAAGTGTCAGGTCTGAACAGTGTTTAAATGGGGAGCTCGAAGGAAAACACAAGATGTTGCAGGAGGTTGTACAGGGAATCTGGAAGTGGCATTTTTCTTTGTTGGTCCTGAATCAGTACCCAAGTAGGTTATGCTGTGCTGTTAGGTGGATTTAGGATAAGACGGGAAAAAGAAAAGTCCTAGCAATCTCTTAGCACTTCTTGTTTGATTGTTACTCTGATAACACTAGAAAAATGAAATGTTCAGTTGGATTCTTATTTATGTAACTGCATTTTGCTAACCTTAATTCCCAGATTCAACTGAATACAGTATTCTTTTCCTGTTGTGTGGTGGCCCTGTGTACAGTCCCACTCTTGAGAAGACGGCTTTCCTTTCCTATGCATCCGAAGAAGTGGGCTGTAGTCCACGAAAGCTTATGCTCTAATAAATTTGTTAGTCTCTAAGGTGCCACAAGTACTCCTGTTCTTTTTGCGGATACAGACTAACATGGCTGCTACTCTGAAACCTGCTCTCCTTTGTAGGTTTAACAGGGTTGCCACTCTCTGGTAGTGTGCCTCCTTGTATATAGGTCAGGGAAAGTCGCTCTTGCTGCATCGCGTGCCCCCTTGCTGCTCATTGCTTGCTCTGCAATAGCCCTTCTTCAAGTAACTTGGCCCTCCAGCTAGGTTACTATTTAGTCCACCCCTTCCGGTGGACTTACAAAGTCCAACAGGACAACTGCCCAAATGCTGTTGCCAGATGCATTCAGCCCTCCTCTGGCTCTGTGCCACTATACCAGGGGAACCCGGACCCACCTGTTATACCAGGTTCCAGCTCAGGAACCTTATAACCAGCAATCCAGGTCCTCATTCCCATTCCCTGGCACTGTTTCCCCAGTCTCCTTCCTACCAAGTCTCCGTATCTTCTCTTTCCTGGTTCTCGGTTTACTACTGGAGCCTACTGTACTTCCCGTGGCTACTTCTCCCCTCCTAGCCTCTTGCCAGACTCCTTACACCAGGAAAGGATCCCAGAGCTTACTCTCGCCCTGGACTTCCTCCTTGCTCCGGGAGGCCTCCCTCCTCCCAGGGGAGCAACTGTGGACTCCTTTACCTGCAAGCTGCCTGCTGCTTTCAGCCTCTTGGTTTTTTAGTGCTGGCCCAGCCCTCCCCCAAGCTGGGCTTCCCTCTCAATTAACCCTGGCCCTCCTTCTCTCAGGTGATGTCAGGTGACCTAATTAGTGTCTCAGGCCCTCATTCACCCTATTAGGGCTGGTGTGGGGTGCACACCATATCGCAGTAGGTGAAGTGAATTCTTGGGTAGGGCTAGAAGGAATCAGAATGAGATAATGTGAAAAGACATTAGGAATCTACTAGGATAATAGGCACTATGCACATTTGTACGATGTTATATTAAATGCTTTTATATCTTAGAGAATTATCAGTTTCTGTCTTGGAGGAAAAAATAAGGTTATCAGAAATTCTAGTCATGTTTACTTTTAAATCTATAAAAGCATCTTTCAGGAATGCAGCATGAGATTTAAGGATGGGGTTTTCAAAAACATCTAATGGACCAGCTTTCACTGACTTCTGATAGGAGTTGGGCACCCGACTCCCTTAGGCACTTCAGTGAAGGAGAATTTGTAGGCCATACCAGGTTGCTAATGTCCCTTTAATGATTATTAGGAGTATAGGACTGAAAAAAATGATTTGGGAATTGTACAACATTGATGCCTTGATGGGTTATTGTTTTATAAGTAATATTCATGTCTCTGATAAGTGAAATTGCAGAAATAGAAAGTTAATAGATGGCTGTTAAAATTCAACTTTTTGAATTATTTTTGATTGCAATAGCCATGAATGTGTTAGGGTTGCCACACTAATGTCAAATCCTTCCCATATTGCTGATGTGATTCGTAGAATGTTTACAGTATTTTGACTATTGTGTCTTCCTTCTTTTTGAACCTACATACCTTAAAATATAGCCTCGTTGTCTATGTCTGATTAATTTAAATTTAGCCACATTTTTAGATTCTTTATCACTTGATATCAAAGGTCTTTTTGAAAGGCTAATATTGGTGCCTTATTTAAACATACAAAATTACCAGGCATCTTCCATATTAACAATCAAAAAACCAGTTAACCATGCCAAATTTATCAAATAGAGTAGCAAGTCTAGCTGCAGCCAACACAGCTCTACTCTGTTCTTAGTGCAGTATCAGTCTGTCTGTAGGCCATGTCTACAGTATTTTGATTATCATAGAGAGTCCGATGGTAAGAAAAATTGTCCATGTCAAGGATTTTACAAGTTTTCAACTATTCTCATCTGTGTGAATTCTCCTAATGCCTTCTAAAGCATCAGCATTAATCTCCATCTACTGGTGAGAGCTGAACTCAGTTCAGTGAAAAAGCTGCTCAGGACTCCAGTAGAGGCACTTGTTTTTTAGCTGAATCAGTATCTTTATGAGCTTCCCATTTTCCCCCCATGAGGGAAATATGAGATTTTGTTTGATTTAACATTGCACTCTCTTATCCATACTTAGGGACAAAGTCCTGACCTAGTCAGTTACACTGGGACTTGAATTTCAGGTCTTCGGTTCATCTCTAATAGATTATGCACCGTGCCTCCATGAAGTAAGCCATATCCCCATTCTGCTTAGAAAAAAACAACGTGAGAGCATCAGGAGAAGGGAGAGACACTCTTCAGGATTCCCCTCTCTGACTTTTCCCTGTATTGTTCCATTGGGGTGATACAGCCGGGCCCCTCAACCCATGAGCAGAGGGTTCAGCCCCCAGAACCTGTGGATCTCAGTGGGTATTCTGGAATCCTGGGCCTTGTCTCACACCAGCTGTTTTGCAGCATGACTCCAATGAAGCCTTTTCATCAAATCCCACATAGGGGGAAGGATGATCAGTGGCCCCCATTATAGCCTTCTCATCTCTCCATGTGTAGATCCCCAATACTGTGAAAATTCTTTACAGAAGTCCAGGGATGGACAGAACCATGGATGCCAATCCCTGCCCTCCCTGTATGCATGCGGAGAGAGATCTGTACAGGAGATGATTGAGGACAGTGTGTCAGTCACAGTGCCATGTTTTGGGGTATTGTCACGGGGTATAGCCTTGTTTTGAAGGAAGAGTGTAGTTTGAGAAGCTGTGAAATAATTGTCCTGACTGAAACCTTCACAGTCACATAGCATTTCTGAGAGTGATATTACTGATTGGCTAAAGGTGGGATTTTCACAAAGTCTCAGCATTAGCTAGACTCTGCTTTCAGGGAAGTCAATGGGCATTTTAACATTGACTTTAGTGGGAGCAGACTTAGAGCAACACTGAGCAACTTTGAAATCCTACCTAACTGTTAAATTTTTTAAGATTTCAAAATTTGGGTTTGTATGTCTTTCAGGCTGTAGAATGAGTTTTTCCTAACCCCGTGTTATTGTTAATTATATATTTCTAGGCAAAGAAATTTTAAACCAGTT